CACAACCATGCTTGCGTTTGGTGCGGGCAGGTACCTTGCTGGAGGTCAGTCCGCAAATCTCGTGGTGGAATATTTCAATCTCGGGTTTACTTTTCTGTACGTCCAGCGAGTTTGTGGGCAAATGGAAAAAACAACAACGCGTTATTTTACGGACAACCTTATTGGAGTTAAAAATCAGATTTGGGGGACGTTGCTAGCAGAGGGTCCACTAAAGCACCTCTCCAGAGTCTTCCTGTTGTCTTTTGTCCAAAGCCCGTCTGATCCCCCCTCCTCTGGCGCCTCTGCCTCATTCGTTGCCCCCTCGCTTTGTGTGTGTGTCCCTCGTGCTTCTCTCTCTATTCCCCCCTTGCTGTATCTACCGACTTGACAGATATCTTCTTCCCCTGCGAACAGCAATGTGCAAAGGATCACACTCATGGGATGCCTGCGAGGCCTTATAGTTTGACACTAGGTCCAGCCTCCAGGTCTTCCGACACCACTACATACAGTACACCGAGGCCTTACCGTACCACATGACTGTCCAGAGTCGCTCCACTGCCGGTGCTACACGGACAGAGGAGGCAAATCTGAAAAATAAACCAGTAGCTGCTTCTCGGCACAGACATTCTGCACTGGCCGGAGAGGGAATCGTTTACGGCGAATGCCATCAACTGATGGCGTGAGCGAGCAAGCCAGACCTTTTTCTAACTCTGAAAGAGCGGTACTACTTTGTCACTTGGTCAGCGCCTCCTCTTAAAAAGCTGCGCTCCTGTCTGCTGTCTCATCCCCGCCTTTGCTTTCTTGCTGCACAACCCTATCAACCGTCCTCATTATTGAGTCATTGCCGCAGCTGGCCGCCTCCACTTCAGGGTCCGCGCTCGTTTTGCAATTGTCCTTCTGTACCGCCGACACTCACCGACTCCACCCAAGAAACAGCAGCCCCGCAGACTATATGGCATCATTTATCGTACCTCTGAGTATTGACAAGGCCTCCGCTGCTATCGATTTTACAGTAACATTGCTTGGCGTAGTGCTCTCAGTGATTGTTGTTGCTATTATACTTAGGGCAAAACAAGCCAAGCTGGCACGAACGGGGTGCGTACAGATCACGCCGCAAGTGGCCTGCCCCAAAAGTGAAGTGAACGACTTCACTTCTGGGGCAGGCCACTTCTTTGTGATAGCGGCATGTCGATATGTCTCTGTGAGGGGGGTTGCCTGTGGTACGCTGGTCGTTATTCTAAGCTTGCTCAGCAGTACCGCTGTGCTCGGGACGGAAGCGTCTCGTTGCGTAACGTCAGGTCGAGGATATGCTGGCTTGACGAAAAGTCAGAGGACTACATGTTACAAAGCACGACCAGTCCCTGGGAGCTTAGACATGCTTGCTGTGGCGGGAGCCCGTCTGCGAGAGCTAGTAGTAAGCGAAACGGAAGTCGATGTGTGGAGCCACCCGCTGAACTACGATTTTAACAAGGACGAGATCACCCAGTTTTCTGAGCTGGATATTAAGATGAGAGGGGTAGTAACAAACGTGAATGCCTGCGAATCAAACATAACCGTAATTCGAAATCCTGGGATCAGCAATGAAGTTGGGGTGAGCAACACCGCCATTTCTGATGCTGAGAGCGAGCCTAAGGAAGGAGCGGCAAACCCGGCAGTAGCGCGTGAGTTCAGTGAGTTGGGTTTTACTTATGGAAAAGAGAGGGACATAAATATCGGCATGTATGGCAAGGAAGTGACACGCAATAACGTTACAACCGTGTATCTCGTTTACGGAAGAGTGGGTGAGGGTGAGGAGAGTGGGGTTGCTAACTGCACGGAACTAACGTTCTCAACTGCGGGATTGCAAGTAATACCATTCGTGAGGTATGCAATGGCATTGGGGGACGAAGAAGTTGACCCTAAGAGACTGGCAGAAGTGGCGTGGATGGCAGCTTCACTGTCGCAAATGGGTATCAGACAAGAAGCATGCGATAGACAAGTATACACGATCAAGGAATGCACTCGGATCTCTAGTAACACGAGCATAACTATAGGGGCACTTGGAGGAGCCATTGTATTGACTTGTTTAGTGTATGTAGGTATGCTTCGGAGTTTACGACGTAGCGGGCTCAATCGTGTGATCATGCCTTTTGAAATGTTAGCTTCCGCGGCAGCCGTGATGGACGGAGATGAGAGGTATGTGACACGCGAAGCCAAGGGTGTGTACGCCATGCTCAAGCTTGTATCCGGCGAAGGGCGGCTGACGTAGAGCAGGACGCGAGGTGAGGGAACACCCGAATCAACGTTTAGAAAAATTGGGGCTTGGGATTCGGCGGCGTAAGAGAAAGAGCGATGACGTATGACAGAAGACGAGACGGATACTACGAGGACGGGTTGGGCTCGTTGAATATGTATAGTAGGTGACAAGTGGCCTTCTTCAGTACGAGGTGAATTGGCCGAATTATGGTTGAAGCAATCAGAAGGGTAGGAATTGATGAACGGCATTTGCCGAAAGCAACAACATTTTGGATAACGTCATGAGTAGTTTGATCACATTGATCATATAGAAAAAGGGGATTTCAATGAAGATTATAGTTTGAATAGGGTTCGAATCTGCATGATTAGGACTGAAGGATATTCGAGAGAGACGGATAGGGTATCAAGCATGCATGAGTGTGCTTTTCGGCAAACTTTATCTAATAATGATCAGGAAGGATGGAGACGGCAGATGTCATTGGAGTGATGGTCTGCTGTAAGGCCGACTCAGTGCCGGTGGCGGGGGTACATTTCCCATTCTTGTGGAGCAGGTAGTAGTCAAGAAGAAGGAGTTGATGAATGACCTGACCTGAGGCCGTTGGTCAATTTGACACTTTTAAATGTAATGCAGATTGAGTAAATAGTTCCCTTTTTAAAATGGCGTTTTTGGTTTCGAAGTTATTTAACATGCGGTTTGAATGTGGCTTCCTTTCCACACACATCTAAAAACGACCACGAAGAACATGCAATTCCCACAAAGTTCTGTCTGTCCCCAAGTCAGAAGTCAAGTACGGTGGCGGTGGTATATTTTTCTTTCTTTTCGAGGAAGCGGAAGTCAAGAATAAAATAGGTCGAATAATGTCCTCAAATGAGGAAAAACGTCCAATAGACACTAGAGGACATAGCCGCCGTGTGCCGGTTGAAGGCGAGCGCCTTGTACTCAGGAAGGAATCCAAACGCATTCTATCCCCAGCGGTGCGGCTGGATGCCTCGTTTAACGCCTTAGTCAAAGCGGTGCGCGCCGGTCGGACGCTGAACTAGCGCGTCCGCTTTCGGGTGGCCAACGTCGGGCCCGCTCGAGTGGAAATGGATGCTTTTTAATAGGAAGCAAGCTCGTGAGCGTGAGACACGGATAGTAGACAGTCATACCGCGAGACGGGGGGCGCCAGAGCGATAAAAATGCAACTGTGGGAGCGGAGGGGCCGGGTTAATCAAACTGCTGGCCTCCCACCGGTGCGCATTGCTCAGCGGAGGGGGGGGGGGGGGGGGGGTTGAACTTTCCCCCGAACCCCTCCCCCCAAAAAAAACGGGTTTTCCTTTTGCGAAAAAGGGGCCTTTTGA